TCTATAAGTCGAAAGGAGACTGCGACCATACTCGAGGCCACAACATCTTGGTCTTCACATCTTCAATTAAAATCTTTGATTTGAATTTTTTGTGTGACTGATGAAGAGATTAGTAGGTCGATCTCACCAGAAGGCGATGACTGATTTTTGTTCTGAAATCGTTTTCTTTTACTTCGACGTTCAGGTTGACACCTATCAGATACAAACATCGTTTCGGGTGAATATGGACAGAACCTTCGTCCATCATATGTAAGACTTCATCAGAGAAGGAACTCATTTTTGCAAAAGCTTCAAATTATAATTAATCAAGAAGGCTAGTTGGCCCTACCAACAAAGTCTATATAGTTAAAACTAAATATTACAATAATGATAACAGGATATAGAATGGCTTGTTTAATTTCTCAAGGTCTTAATGTTTTACTTCGATTCAAATTCAAAGATAAATTATCCGCAATAAATTATGTTCATATTAAGTTGCATACCAAACTTAAAACCAAGTTTCTGAGTGGCTTGCTCACATTCTTAAAGTTTGATGGAGTCATACATTTTAACTCCAGCATTTTTTCCCGACCTTTCAACCTATATTCTCCACTAGGGTCATGATGGTGCTGTATATGCTATGTCAGCCTCACCTGTTCATGCCAATATTCTGGCAACTGGCGGTGTTGATGGTCGTTTCTTTATCTGGAACTTGGCGCGGCACCGGCGTGCTTCTTCGCAGCTTCACCACTCATCCCTGCATAAACCTAGACAGCAATCTGGAATACCAATAGCTGATGAACTCGAGACGGTCGCTGCTCTAGCCGACCGTTTGGCTGATGACTCCGACGATCAGGAGGTTGGATGTGACAGCTGGATGTGGGACCATCATTTGGGTAGGTCACGTCCAGATCATTTGCTTTGTCGGTACCGCTATCCTCCAGGCCAAATTGAACCAGGTCTTGGTCTTATCTGGGCACCACCATTTGACCTTTCACCTCCTGAGGCGCCGTCATACGCTGTAACTCATATCTCTAATGCCAGTGGCAATTTTTCCGGTATGCAAGGTTCGATCCTCTCAAATGCTCAGTTTCATCGTGGATCGTTGGTTAGTCGAGCTTCGTCTGCCTCTCATATTTTACCTAGTCTCAATGGCAGAGTTTCTTCCGCCAGGCACCTACGGAA